CAGAACCGAGCAAATCAGAGTAAAACCGGGTCAAAAACAGAATAACACTGACTCAAAAATCCTATTATCATCTTTCACGATTGGTCCAAAGCTCTCCGACTTCCGACGTCGGGACTTTAAAACTTTGGCGGAGTTGGCGAAAAAATGCGATACTTCAGGCTTCCATTTTGCCATGTGAACGTATCCTGTTTGAGCCAGAGGCTACGCGCTCGTTCTGGGGCGGCAGATCACGTGCACATTCTATCGTGGGCATGCTTTTTATTAACAGAAAAGAAAAGCCGGTAGTGCCGAATAACATCCAATAATTATTGACACCATAGAAGTCATTAAAAAAAGCACATAAAATGCACACACACACGCGCGAAATAAGGATGACCTTCCCGAAATTATGATTGCACCTTGTTTCACGCACAGTAATTGTCAGGCAGCGCTTTCCACTTTGTAGTTGAGCAAGGAAGTTCCTTTTTGAAAGGTATTTTACGCGCTTGTTGGCAGTTTGGGCCTTTAGTTTGGCTTCTGGCTTCCCAATGTTGTAGTTTTCCTTGATGCCGGGAAGAGTGTACACTCCAGCAATGAAGTTTTCTAGATTCAAAACCCCTTCATTTTGCGTCCAATTAAAATGAAGGCCAGCCGAAACAGGGTACGTCAGACTCGTTACATTCGTCTTTGGCAGTAGCCTTTTCGGAAACTTGGACAGGAAATTGGTCTTCAAATCTCCCGTCACTTTCACAATTTTATCACTTGTGTCTTCACTAACTGGCCCAGTACTGTGACCGCTTCTGGTTTCATTGGTACTACTTAGTTCACGGGGTGTTTTTGTCTCACCGTGTTCCGAGACAACCGAGCTTACAGAAACTGCTGTCGGCGACGTCGGTTCTGGTCCTTGGCCTGTTGTAGCATTTTTCAGGACACAACCACACAACTTCGTCTCAGGACTGTTGTCCTTGGCAAGCTGGGTATACTTAGTGGCTCCAAGTATATTTTTTTGTTTGGGTTCATGGTCGCACAGCGCGACACCCTACGTGTCTCAAATCCAAATTTTAAAATTCGCACCGATGTCGTCCCGCAGCAAATGCAATTTTCTAATTAAAATGACAAATAAAAATTACTCCGTTATAATTTTAATATATATTCAGTATTTACATTTGACAATTAAGTAATACCATAATTTTTAGAAACGTTTATTATTTTCTTAAGTGCATCAGTCACACTTGCGGGCTTGCTGGAGTCAATAGAGTGAACAGTGGATTCACCCCGGTCACCCGCATGACATATAAACAGAGGTCGGCATTTTAGGTCGCCCTCACTCACCCTCACCCTCACAGCCACACTCACCTAAGCCCCTCACTCACCCTCACCCTCACAGCTACACTCACTTTCAGCCCCTCACTCACCTTCACCCTCACAGTCACACTCACCTTCAGCCCTTCACTCACCCTCACTGAACCTCACGGCCCTCACGCACTAACCGCCCTCACGGCCCTCACGGCCCTCACGGCCCTCACGGCCCTCACGGCCCTCACGGCCCTCACGGCCCTCACCGCCCTCACGGCCCTCACGCCACTCACTCACTCATGGCCCTCACGTCATTTACCGCCCTCACGGCCCTCACCGCCCTCACGGCCCTCACCGCCATCACGGCCCTCACAGCCCTCACGGCCCTCACGCCACTCACTGCCCTCACCGGCCTCACCGCCCTCACGGCCCTCACCGTCCTCACGGCCCTCACGCCACTCACCGCCCTCACGCCACTCACCGCCCTCACGCGCCTCACCGCCCTTGCGGCCCTCACACCCCTCACGCCCCTCACGCACTGATGGCCCTCACGCCACTCAGGCCAGCTTCAGATGGGGCAATTTCGCCCAGAAACTTTACGTCCCAACACCAGCAACACGGGCCGCCCGCGGTCACACGCAGCAAGAAATTGCTGCAATTTGCCATCTTCATCATAAAATTTTATTTTTCTTGCACTATTTAGACACAATTACGCGTTATAAACGTGTTTTTATGCATTCAAATCTCGTTAAAAATACTAATGCACCTTTCTGAAACAGTTTATTAAAAAAAAAAAAACGATCGATTTCAAACCAGAACCAAGTCTTTCGGTGTCATCATCACCGGCACGAGGTATCACGTGAAAATTTTGCGTCCCTGGTTGGATGCAGCCGCTTCAAACGCATTCGAATCGCTCCGAGTTGCTTGCTTATTTCGAGCCGGACCCGATCTCAGCAATTCGTGTCGTTCTAGGGAAAGCTATAGAGAACAACCCGCCATTACCACCAAAATTGCTGAGAAAGATGCTCGATCTGAAGGGGGCCTCACGCACTCACCGCCCTCACGAGCTCATGGCCCTCACACCACCTCATGTACTCACCGCCCTCACGGCCCTCACGGCCCTCACGCCTCTCATGCCACTCACTGCCCTCACGCACTCATGGCCCTCACACCCCTCACGCACTCACCGCCCTCACACCACTCACGCACTCGTGGCCCTCACGCCACTCACCGCACTCACGCCCCTCACGCACTCATGGCCCTCATACCCCTTACCGCCCTCACCGCCCTCATGGCCCTCACGGCCCTCACCGCCCTCACGGCCCTCACCGCCCTCACAGCCCCTCACGGCCCTCACGGCCCTCACTCACCCTCACACTCATGAATTTTCTTGGTTCAGAAACTCACTCACCCTCACCTCACCTGTGAAGATGAGGGTGAGTGAGGGTGAGTGAGGGCCCTCATGAGTGAGGTTTGCCGAGGTATGCATATAAAACCAAAATAAGTTTTCAAAGTGCAATTTATGCAAATTTTTTTGCTAAATTAAGGTCAATAAGTAAATTTTTTAAGTATTCGTTTACTTCAGCAAACAAAAACAAGAGTTAAAATACGAAGTATTATAGTCACATGATACATCCCCTGCGTCAGGAAGTGGTCCGACGTGATAAACCGAACGGTCCGGCCGGAGGACAAGGAAGCATGGAAGAAGAACCGAAGCTGCCGAAGCAACGTTCGCGGGAAGTCTAACCGCTTGAAGCACGTTGCAGAGTCGAGACCAGTTGAGCGGCCGGAATTTTACGAACGATTATGCAAGCGTACGTCTTGAGGACGACCATGAGCCACATATCATCTCAAATTTCTGCCCGTCAAGCCTTGTGACGAAACAGAATCGGACTTCTTCAAGGTGCGGATCCTAAAGTTGTTTGGTAAGTTCTAGTCTCCACACGCGTTGTGCCCAGTCTAGTGACCATCTCCTTTAAGTTAAAAATTGCAGCTTTAAGCACAATATGTGGGAGTAACTCTCGGCGCCGGTTGTTTCAGGATCGCAGAGTGACGCGGCGCGTTCACACTCTTGCAACCGAGTACGACCGAGAAAGACTTCTTGAGACCGGATGCGCTGAGCGGAGCTGGTCCTAAGAGATCGCAAGAGGCCTAAAAACCGGTTTGGTCTCTCTCGGTCGTACTCGGTTGCAAGAGTGTGAACGGGCCGAGATGAGTGACTGCCCGGGAGGGCTGGAGGAAGCTTGTATGAGACAGGTAATTGTAATTTCATTTTCGCGCTTGCGATGCAATTCATAAGACGTATTTTAAATTTGAGATTTTCTTTAGTTATGCCGCCACAAGTACAAGGAATTTCATTGATAGGGGTGCCGTGTGTTCGTTTTCATATGCCCAGAAACTAGGTAAAGGTTATGTGTTTTAACATTTTTTCTGTGCTGATAGGCTTAAGGTTAGAATGAATTATATCTGTCAAGGCGTGGCGCAGTCTGTGTCTATTTGGAGAAGAGGTATGTGTGTGCGTGCGTGCGTGCGTGCGTGCGTGCGTGCATGCGTGCATGCTTGTTCGTTTGTTTGTTAGTTCGTTGGGGGAGAGAGGAGATGAAGAAGAGGAGGATGAGGTATCACGTCGAATCATTCAAATCGTTAACTCTGACAGTAATGAGGTAAGAAGGATACCTGCTAGTTACACCGGTTCTGTTTTGTGCCAAACTCAAATTGCGTTTTGCCGCGTAAATATTGCTACAATATTTTTTTTCATCAACAAAATTAATTTTGAGGCATGCCGTTGACAAATAGGACCCCTGTTTTCAATCCCAGTCCAGGTTATTCGCGACTCCAGCGAACTATAGATGGCGCGCTGCTCAGGCAAAATTCGGACGAAAGAAGGTCGTTTTCGTTGTTCAGCATGCGGACCATCACAAATTCCTGCACTGCAGCGTAAAATCAGTGTTACATTTAATGCAAAGTGATTTTTCGACCCTAGAAACGTTTGTCTACTCAGTGCGTAGGAAGGACCCGGTGGAATCATTAAAATAATTACTGGAAACAATGTTTGTTTCTATGCTGCCTACGAGAACCAAGCAGCGATAGCAGACGACAGAGTCGGGACAACCTCCTCTCCTGATCTTCTCGGCGCTGCCGCTACGCGGCGTCGATTTTGCTGGAGTCACGAATATTGCGCTGGTAAATTTCCTGTACATAGTGCTGCTTCAAAGATGAACTGAAGTTTATGTCTTCTATGTGTGCATTGGCAATGACATGTGGCTCAACAAGACTTCACACACAAAGTTCTCAAATAGAAGAGGGAATCAATGTTCATCCGGTAAGGTTTGGTAATTATCTCCGCCACAGATGGCCTCCTTGGCGAGTTGTAACCGGCAGACCTTCAAACCGCACAAAGGCTAAGCAAAGCCACAACTGGATGCAGCAAGACTAAAAGCTTTATAATATACTGTAAGGACTATGGCTTTATAGCCTTTTATAGCAAAACATACTGATCTGAAAAGCGTTTGTGGTTATTTTAAAGTGGTATACGGAAACTTTGTTGTATTGTATTAATTCTGGTTCACTGCACAGTTAAAAGGTTTGTCTTCGTTTGCTGCCAGAGAAATATTGCTTGCGATGAACTAAATCAAAGTTATGACTGCTGGTGTCATGTACATATTCAGAACTTTTTTTATTAAAATAATTTTAATCAGGTGTTTTTATGGGTTTTAGCACTGTGATTAAGATACGTCAATGTGTTTTCTAAGAAAGACTACTAATTTGCAGTTTGTATCTTCTCCTAAAATATTTTGTAGATCTGAGCATGTATTCATACCTGAATATGTGCCAGGCATTCCCCAGTATGTGTATAATTGTTTACTAGGCCTGTAAGCTTCCCCACTACATCATTGCCGCTATGTTAGCGCTTCCCAGCTATTATTCGAGAGAGATAAGTGTTTCTCATGATCAATTAGGTTGAGATTGTTTAGCGTTAATGTTTTTGAGTCCCCCATTTTTAATTCCTGACAGAGCGCTTCAATGTATGTTTATTTTTGGTTTGCCGCTATTTATCACCACAAGCAAAAACATCACGCCACTGGGATTAACCTGAAGCTCACCTCATGATTAACGACGCTGCCGTCCACTGTCTTAAGGTGGGCCTACGTTCATGGGTACTTGTCTAGTGGTTCTGGAGTTGATGTTGCTGAGATAACCGAGACGCCGATTTCTACGATGGCCTCTGTCAGCATCATGGTCGATTACAGCTGGCCTGAGCCCGAACCAGGCCAATCAACGTGCTGGCCCGAACCAGGCCAATCAACGTGCTGGCCCGAGCCCGGCCCGGGCCCACAGTCAAAAGTCCGAGCCCATCCCAGGCCTGGGCTTTCGGGTAAGCCCAAGCCCGTGCCCAGTGGTATAATCTTTAGTCCAATCGCCATATTGAGATAAAGACGTCGAAATTCCTCAGTTTAAATGTCGGAAGTGCCTCAATAAGAGCAGGTATAAATATTAGTAGCAAATTTAATTATAAAAAAACTGCGCCGACTTTACTCAACAAGATTAACAATTTAATCAAGCGTTTCGTCTCCCATGCGGGGAACATCATCAGTGAAACCTTCAAGCAGGAATGAGCGAAAAAACTTCAACAATCTTATTTAAGCAAGTCCGCATAAACATCGGGGGAGGGGGCCGCGGTTGGAGTTGCAAGCTGATGAGTCACTTCAGATGAACCATGATTCCACCAACCTTCGTGGACTCCACCTTTGTTGTAACGCCGGAGTGGACGCATTCTCAAAGTCGAAACTGTGACCCGTATTCCAACAATGGTCTACAAGTTCCGTCTTCGCTGTGTTTGTTTAGGCAAGTGCAGCGCTTCCAGCCTGTCTCCCCAATGTAGGATGTGTCACAGTCTAGACAGTTCACTTTATACACAACACCGCACTGGGACTCTGGGGGGGTGTAATCTTTAGGTTTAGAAATGAAGTCACATAGTTTATGGTGGGGTTTCAAAGCTGTGCGGATATTCAAATGGGCGAGGGCCCTGCGAATGGACTCAAAAGCACCTCTCAAATAGGGTATTGTTGCTTGCCCTGTCCTAAGTTGTCCATTATCCTGACTTCTTTGTCCCATCTGTTTGTGCGTGTTATCAATAAAACGTTTCGGATAATTCCGCTTCATCAGCAGGTCAACAATAACAGCGTCCTCAGAAGCGCGCAAGCCGCCTCGGTGGCTCCAAGGCGAGAGCGCTGGCCTACGGATCTCCATGTGGCGGAGGCTTATTGCGGAGCAGGCGCCGTGTAACCAAGCTTTCGGTTGCACGTCAAAAGATCCCCAGGTAGTCTAAATTAATCCTCAGTCCTCCGCTGGGGCGTGCCAGATGCCTGTCGTTGGTTTAGCACGTAAATCCCCCAAATTTGACTTTTTCTCAGCAGCGCGCAATTGAGGATTAGAAGAAATGCGTTCGGACCGGTGTAGTAGGTTTTTTACGACAGCCCTTTTATGTTCGACAGAATGATGCGAGTTAAAGCTTAAGAGGTTGCCTGTGCTTTGCTTTGCGGTACACTGTTGTATATAAGCGACCGGTACTATTTCGGAACACATTAACATACAGAAAAGGCTTTGCACCGTTCTGTTCAACTTCATGTGTGAATTGGATTGATGATTCAATGCTGTTTAAAGCTAAATGAAAGTCACAAAAGGGACATGGCAAAGGCCACGCATGCGACAAGAGCGAAGACGGAACTCGTAGACCATTGTTGGAATACGGGACACAGTTTCGACTTTGAGAATGCGTCCACTCTGGCGCGTGAACAAAGGTGGGGTCCAAGCAGGTTTGTAGAATCATGGTTCATCCGAAGTGACTCATCAGCTTGTAACTCCAGCTGCGGCCCCCTCCTCAATGTGTATGCGGACTTGCTTAAATAGGACTGTTGAAGTTTCTTTCGCTCATTCCTGCTTCAAGGTTTCACCGACGATGTTTCCCACATGGGAGACGAAACGTTTGATTAAATTGTTAATCTTGTTGAGTAAAGTCAATGCAGTTTTTTTATCATTATGATTCCCGGCTTTTGGAATAATTTTGCAGCACATTTAATGAAGAAATGGATGCCGATAAACACCTGCCAAGGTTGACTAAAAATAAACAGAAACATCCAATCAATAGTTATGATTGCACTAAGCGGTTGCTATGTGGATGTTTTTTTATGTTCGACAGCTCAGCAAAGTCTGCGGATCTGGTTATGCTTCCTGTACGAGACAGATCACGAAGTGGTAGCTGACTGACCAGTTGGGGCGAAAATTTGTGTGGGAAGGACGTAAGAGAAAGTTGACATTCAGGAACCTTCACCTTGCTGAGTGCATCATAAGTAAGTAATCTCTGGAACAGTAGTGCAGATCGCTTCACATGGAACCAGATTTATGGAATTATTGGTGTCATACTTCTGTTGCTTTCTTTTATCAGATGCAGTGCAGAGCTGCCATAAATGTGAAGACTTCAAGGTAGAAACCATGGTCACAGATTAACTTCGCCACGCACCTGCCTGACATCAGTCATCTCAAATGGTAAGCTGGTCTTAAGCTGATGTTAGCACAAAAATCAAACTTTTCTAGAACAGTAAGTATGGTGTGCAATTTCTTCAAAGCATAATTTCTATATGAGAGTATTTGAATGCTTTAAATATTAAAGCCAGTGACACCTTTTTTGGTTTAATTTGAGAGCAAATACTACAGGTGTGAACAGTATGGAATAATTAAAAAAAATTTTTTTGTTTGGAGTGTTTCTCTAAGAGGAAAAATTTCATTATGTAATAGTACCTTATTATGGATTAAAAAGAATTCATAGGCAACGAATTTTAAGAACACTGACATTTGATGTAAATCTAACAAACAAAAGTTGGCAATACAGTACACACATCCAGCATGAATGTGCTTTAAAAACAAGGCATAAAATACTTGTGATTTATTTACATCAGTTCCAATTCTTGCATATTTGAGTCACTTCACTTTGAACTTCACTGTTTTATTAGTTTTGTTTCAAAGAATGGTAAACCACTGCTCACATATCTTTAACGTAACATTTTTTCGTTGCTTTTCAGGAACATTCTGCACCACAGGAGAGAGAGATGTGAACTGCCTTAAGTGGGCCTTGAATGTGCTGAGCTTTTTATTATGTTTATCAGACATTTTTTTAAGCAAAGTATCCTGCATTGTTCAGTAAGTATACTTCATTTTGAAAACCTCATGCTGTCTATGCAGCATTGTTCAAAAATTATACTTTATTTTAAAAGCATCAAGCACTGCTCGTCTGTCTAACAGTAACAATAAAGAGTTAATGGCGATTTGTTTGGCACTGCAACTTTTTCCACAGAACGGATGTGCATGCCTGACAGGCTGGGCAGGAATTTAGTGCGCTACTCACGTTCAAAGTTACGCTGCAAGACTGCAGCGGCATCTTTTGCCATGCAGTCGGTGCTACAGCTCTCATGGAATTCTGGTGTCCTTGTCACTAGAGCATATGACTACTGAAGCCTTAGACTTCAGTAGTCAATTCCTCAGGGCCGTTCGTCATAGCTTATGACAATGTTTGTGTCCAGTATTTCAGTTCTCTCGCATGTGGCGAGGTCCACCTCACTAAAACGAGTCAGCATCAGTAGTGTCGCCTTCCTTGTCAGTGTAGTCTGCATTGATCCTGTGGTAAAACTTCTGAGCTTGATGGTGAAAAAAAAACTTCAATATAAAGAATGTCTGCTGCGGGCCTGATTGCTACATTATACATCTGTAATGCGCCATTTGGGTATACATTGAGAGCATGCACGGGCCATACAGCAAATCTGCCCTCTGAGCTCTTGTTTTGTAAATAATTGGACCCTTATCCGTTTAAATTTTTCTGTAGGACAGTTTACATGCTATATGCTAGCATAAAATGAAGGCTGCTTAGGCACTTCCTTGCCCTCTTGGCATAGGGCTGGTCGCTATACCAGGAAAGGTAATATTTCTGAGGTATGTACATGGTACATCCACAGGATCAGGCTGAACATCCTACAATGGTCCTGAATGTCCATCCGCATCAACCAGATTGCGTTAGTGGTACGTTTTCTGGGGAACCATTTTGCACTGCGCAGTAGATACTTTCAATGTTGGATGAATCGTAGCAGATATCCACTGGATATGTTAAATGTCCGAACAACACATCTCTCTGATGTTTAATAGACGGTTGCTGGTTGACTGGGTACCATCAAACCAATGTGCACCGGGGCACCTGTTGTCAATTGCCGCTCATTGGTTTTCGCCCCCTAAACGCCATCAACCCAATGTGCACAGGGGTGCCTGTCGTCAATTGCCGCTTATTGGTTTTCGCCCCATAAATACCATCAATCCAATGTGCACAGGGGGGCCTGTTGCCAATAGCCGCTCATTAGTTTTTGCCCCATAAATACCATCAACCCAATGTGCACAGGAGCACCTGTTGCCAATTGCTGCTCATTGGTTTTTGCCCCATAAATGCCCTCAATGCAATGTGCACTGGGGTACCTGTTGCCAATTGCTGCTCATTGGTTTTTGTTTCATAAATGCAATCAGCCCAATGTGAATTACCTAAAGGATTACCAATTCAGCCCAATGTGAATTCCCTAAAGGATTACCAATTGGTGCACATAGGTTTTTGTTTCATAAATGCATATTGCTCAATGTGTCTGGACCTACAGTTGCACATTGGTTCAATGTGAATTTTGGCCTCATTTCACATCGCCCATTTCCAGCAGGGAAGCCCATTAGAGGAAACATCTCCCCCTTCTGGCGCTCGTCGGCTTCTTTCTGTTTTCCGCGCTGCGGCGCTGATCCTCAGTGAGGGATGGAGGCGAGGACGAAAGCGGGCTTATGTTTAAGCCAAGGTCGTGGGGAAGTCCGGAGCGTCTTCAGGAGAAGCTCAGACCCAGACTGCACTGTACCCAGAGCATTTGCTTCCTCTCTCAGTTGAGAAGAAAAGCAATTGGTCACCTGGTTGTACAAGCTGCATCCTGCGTCGATTGCTTACGTTTTTTCTTCGAGCTGACGAAGAACCCCCCGGGGGGGGGGGGGGGGTTGCCTGGCGAGGCGTTTGGGGGGGAGGGACGATCGCCCCCACCGCCCCCCCCCCTTGTATCCGCCACTGGGTGAAACAGCACCAAATAGTCGTCCACATATCTGAAAATGCGGACAACAGCGGCTCCCAACATTTCTTCAATCCCTCTGTTACACTTTGACAGTCAGATATCACTTAAACGCCACGTTTGAGCCAATGCAGATACCTTCTTTTTGCAAATGATCTGCGTCATCAAAAACAGCATACTTGGAGCTGAGATAGAAACGCAGCAAATCTAAAAATCTTTCCTCGTCAATTCCGCAATTATTCTGAAAGGTGACGATCGCTATTTTTTCTATACTTTCCTGAACCGGAAGCAACCATTCTTCATGCGAAATGGAATAAAGTAAGTCGACTACGTCGAATGACGCTGCATGACACAAGCCAGGGTTTGTGTCTTTCAGATACTGTGTCAGGCATTCCGCACTCTCCACTCTGAAGGGATCTTGAAGGACTAACCGAGAAAGGTGACGCTGCAGGTGCGACCCCAACTGTGCCTGCCACGATACTCTTTGCATCGCAATCGCCCTAAGCGGCCGGGCTACCCTCTTATATGTGGTTTTACGGAGAAAACCACCTCCAGATTTAGACCTTTGGCTCCAGTTACCCCTGCTTTTAACCAATCAAGACCCATAGATTCACACATCCTGGCAGCCCTCTCTTTGACCTTGATAAGTGATACCCGACCCACTTTTTTAAAATTCTTTTCCACCACTTACTTAGCCTTCACTAGGAAAATATCTTCTCGCACCAAAACGAACCCTCCCTCCCTATCCACCACAAGCAGTTTAATCCGTTCTTCCAGGCAAAAGGTTACTACCTGGTTTGCATCATTGCGCCTAAGAGATCTCACTGTACTGGCCCTCGTAGGAAATGATTCCACACGTTCCGAAATTCATCTCTCTTTATCTTCCTCCTCGACACGGTCCTCCACCTTCCTAACAATTATCAGAAGTTCCTGTGGCTTGACCACCGCTTCACAAGCAAACTTGGGGCCCTTTTTCAAAACGCGTTAACACATTTTCCGGTGCGGAGGCGTCACCCAGCTGTACAACGTTCCCAGAATCCATTGTCACAGCCTTGCTTGGACGACTCAAAGTCAACCTGAGAGTTTGCCACATTCTTCTCTCTCCTGCCCGTGTCTTGGACAGCAGTGCGCCCACCTAGTGAGTCACGTGTCTCCGTCCGACGTGCTAATCGGCTCGCTTGCACCGTAGCCTTCGCCGTTCGCCAAGTTACGTTGCCGCCGTTCAGGAGTTTTCGTAGACCGCGTTTCCCCCTCCGCTAAGCCCTCCGCAACGGAAAAGCCGCTACTGCGCATGCGGACCGATGGCCTTGACTGTAGAGTTTCGGATATCGTAGCGGGTTGCGGAGGGCTTAGCGGAGGAGGAAACGCGGTCTACGAAAACTCCCTTTTGTCTTTGCTCATGCGGGCAGGTACGTGCAATTGCAAACTCGCCAAAGCTACGTTCACGCGCACGCTGCACATGCTTGCACGCATGGGGGATAGCGAACACAAGCGTCGCTGCGGTCGCCGCGCCCTGATTGGGTGAGGTGTACCGTGACGTCAGGGGGAGGACTCCGCTCTGCGATCTGGCATCGGCTCGCTTCTCAGCACCGGTTTCCTGGTTTGCGCGCGTTGTGTGCCGCAAGGTCTTTGAGGAGCTGGACTTCGTTTACCCAAGAAGAGTGGTTGTTTGGGCGAGTTGGTTTGGCATCTTATACAATCTTGTGCGCAACAAAGACGAGGACAAAAGGAGAGAAGAGGACACAACAAGGCGCAACTTTCAACTGAATTTTATTGAAAACGTGTTCCGGTATATATATAGTCTCAACCATCGTCGTAAAGGAAAAATAAACACCATGACAGAGCATAACTGGGAAACAACACTATCTCGTTCTCAGGAAAAACAATTCCTTCTCCGATAATGCGATCGACGGCATAGCAACACACGTGTCTCCTAAATAATCAATGTGCTCGGCTTCTATGATTTCGCGTGTTACCGCTGACTTGCATTTCCCAATTTTTACGCATTCATCCAACAGTGGGGTACAACCGCATGTCCTACAATGCAAGTCAAGAAAGCCACCGTTCTTTTTTTGCACGTTGTTATTGTGCTCGCGAAGCCGATCATTTAGGCAGCGCCCCGTCTGCCCGACGTAGTGGCTGCCACAGGACAACGGAATGCGGTAAACCACGCCATCTGTACAGTCGACAAATTTCGTTCTGTGCTTCTTTTCACATCCGTGTTTGGCACGCACGCCAGGCTTTGATAGTTTGCACAGTTCCATGAGCTTATTGGGCGCGATCAAATGTAAAGGTCGCGCATTTGATCGCGATCAAATGCGCGATCAAATGTAAAGGTAGTGTTTTCTGCGCCCAATAAGCTCATGGAACTGTGCAAACTATCAAAGCCTGGCGTGCGTGCCAAACACGGATGTGAAAAGAAGCACAGAACGAAATTTGTCGACTGTACAGATGGCGTGGTTTACCGCATTCCGTTGTCCTGTGGCAGCCACTACGTCGGGCAGACGGGGCGCTGCCTAAATGATCGGCTTCGCGAGCACAATAACAACGTGCAAAAAAAGAACGGTGGCTTTCTTGACTTGCATTGTAGGACATGCGGTTGTACCCCACTGTTGGATGAATGCGTAAAAATTGGGAAATGCAAGTCAGCGGTAACACGCGAAATCATAGAAGCCGAGCACATTGATTATTTAGGAGACACGTGTGTTGCTATGCCGTCGATCGCATTATCGGAGAAGGAATTGTTTTTCCTGAGAACGAGATAGTGTTGTTTCCCAGTTATGCTCTGTCATGGTGTTTATTTTTCCTTTACGACGATGGTTGAGACTATATATATACCGGAACACGTTTTCAATAAAATTCAGTTGAAAGTTGCGCCTTGTTGTGTCCTCTTCTCTCCTTTTGTCCTCGTCTTTGTTGCGCACAAGATTGTATAAGATTCGTTTACCCGTTGTGCAAAATGTCGAGTTAGGCCGATATTGACGTGCGTCCGTACATTTTATAAGCCTGCTTGTCCCTTTTACCTTTAAAATTGGGTTACAAATCCCGAAAGCTATCGGCGGAGGTAATTCTGCCGATGAACCTCCCCGTCCGTCCACACGACACAAGGCAATCTTGCGAAGGGTCGGTGAAGCGGTGGCGGAAGTGTTTCAGACGCTGGAATTCTGTTCCTTGCATGTTCATGATTT